TGTGAACAAAAACAAGATTAGTTGTCTGTAATCTTATAGGAAATGGACTAACAATATACAAAGAGTTTTCAAACAGCAATTAACTTGCATACTGGTGTAATCAAGCGACGCAATCTCTTCAAAGACAAACCAATTCAGATCAAAAATGCCTGGGTATATAAAGTAAAAGAAACAATAGTGGATATGTAGTTGGTAAAAGTAGACCCCAAAAAGAAATAAAAACAGCATCAAGTTGGATGTCAAGGTATGGATCATAGTTTTGCAATATACTGTAAGAGTAGTTGTGTATGGCGAATACAAGTTTTTTGTATAAAATCTAAATTCATAAAGTTTAGAAAGACCTCGTGTTTAATTGAATTTCATAATAATGCACAGTATCAAGCATCTTAAAACAGAATTCCTGACTGTAGCATAGACGATAAACCCATTGATCATATTAGGGCATGATAGATCTACAGCAAAAATTGGATCTCCCTGGATATGGAAGACAGAACCCATTGAATATTCAGTGTCCTTGTACACTAACCTTCATAGATCTACAGCAAAAATTTGATCTCCCTGGATATGGAAGAGAGAGAACCCATTGAATATTCAGTGTCCTTGTACACTAACCTTCATAGATCTACAGCAAAAATTTGATCTCCCTGGATATGGAAGAGAGAACCCATTGAATATTCAATGTCCTTGTATAGTTAACCTTCAGCTGCTTTATGTGAAGAACAAACGTCAGCTTAGTGTTAAGAAAAAATTCCTAAGAATTATGTTTCCACCATCATAGGACGTACATCTCCAGGTGGAGCCTGTCAGCAGCGAAAATGCTTGAAAATGATTTTAGAGAGTTAAAAACCGAAACTCATTTGTAGTAATCCACTTACATATTCACGTCGATAAAAAAAAATTATATAACACTAAAAATAACCATGAGATGCATTCAGCTCCTAGGGGAAAAATTATAAAAACATCAATTCAAATCTTAAAATACGGATAGGTTGCTTGGTGGTCAGGATGTTCCACTTGCAAGTTTTGAGTCGTGGGTTCGAATCCCATCACCGAGCATGCTCGCCCTTTCAGCCGTTTGAGCGCTATAATGTGACAGTCAATCCATTTAAGACATCATTCGCTCTCTCTATACTATAAAAAGTGAGACCTAAATTTCACAAGAACATTGGCCACATAAGAGATATGTTGTAAATCACAGACATTAAATTAGCAGTAGGAGAATTACTTGCGTTATCAAAGTAAAAGTATCAAGTTCGAAATTCGCAAAAAAAAAATACAATTTACGAGAGTTGTGAAAACCCTTAGGAGCAAGTCAATCAATAAAAAAGACGAAAAAATTACTTGAGA